GGAAAGGGAGGGGGAGGGGGGGGGTCTGGCTCCAGACCTCTGCTTAGTGCGACTGTTTGCAAGAGTGCTGCCTCTGGGGGAGACCCCACCCGCTCGAAGCAGGCGCCACGAAACAGCCAAGATCTACTCCATGGGGGGGCCTGCCCAACTGCGCCCGCTGCTGGCTTTTGGACAACAATTGTTTCCGGGCATCGTCCCCTTTTTTGTCCGTGCCCATCTCTCTGGAGGGCAAAAACACACCGACGCAACGAGTTGTCGATTCCCTAGAAGAAAGAAAAACATGGGAAGCAAAACGCGATCACCAAGGGGGGGGGCGCAGGCACAAGGGGGGGGAGGGCGCAGACACGGCCAGGGCGGATCCGCCAAGTCGACTCCCTTTCGCCCGCGGCGGCGGCCGCCCTCGCCCTCAGAGCCTCCAACCCCCCTCGGGGCCGCCTGCCCGCACGCCCGGGAGCGGGGCCGGGCGGCAAACGTCGCGACGAGGTGAACGGGTCGGTGCTCGTCGGGGTCGGTGCAGGCAGCCACTGAAGGCAGGGCACCAGGTGCATGCATGCTCCGAGTTTCTTAATAAATTATCGCCCGAAGTGGGTAAGGAAAGAATGGGTACAATGCCGAACAGCAAATGTTGTCCCAAACCAACAGCGGCCGCTGTTGGGCAGGCGGCCTCCTGTCTCGAATGGACACAGGCTGCGGCGGCGCGGACAGCGAGTCCTGTTCAAAATGAGCAAGAAATTCTGTTCGTGCAGAGAGAATTCTGTCCTTTCCGTGCCCATCTCGTTCGTGCAGAGAGTTTCTTAATAGGCGTCTGGGGGGCGTCGCCCCCGCCGACAGCCCCACGTCGGCCCCCGCCGCGGCCAGCCGCCGCGCGCCGGAGGCGCTCCGACCCCGGCCTCGGCGCGACGACCGTCGGGGGGATACCCCCCCACGCTTATTAAGAAATCCAGGGTACCCATCGGTCGGAGGAAGTCTCGAATAGATAGGTAGGGCGTTGAAAGTAGATTGGGGGTCCGCCCGCCCCCCTTCGATCATGGAAGTGGGAGGGCGCTTCAAGTAGATTGGAATATGCGAACCCAACATTTCTAACAAACAATACCCCTCAAGAAGTAGGAGGACGCTTCAACGACCAATGGGTAATTCTTGCAAAACACAAACGGGCCCTGAGAGAAACCTTCGTGGACCCTGGGGCCTTTGCCCAGCAAGCCAGCGCTGCATCCTGAATGGTCGTTGTTGACAGCCCCGGGGCCCGTGGAGGGCCTCAAGAGCCCGAAACCAGCGAACAACCTGAGGATACGCTTCCTTCCCTGTTTGCACTGGACCATTTCTAGCGCCGCCTGGCGCCAGAGGCAGTCACGTACTGAGGAAAGTGAGCGAGCGATCGTCCGATCGAAAGCCCCAGGACGTCCCGCCTCGCATGCGGGAACGGTGTGCCTCACGCAGACACAACCAGGGAAACATGCAACGGAGACAGACAGCCAACCCGTACGATGAGGATGCGCGGTAAGGAGGCAAGGGCCTCGGAGGGCCATGCCGACGCTCTTCGAGCGAGGTTGGCCAGCCAAAGTCGCTATAAGGACGGGCCGAAAGGCGCAAGGATGCAGGGGCAGCCTCGGAGAGCTGCTCATCCTTACCATGCGGCTTGACTCTACACTTTCCCATAAAAGGCCTCCTACATGGGGTCGGGGTAGATGGGGTCGGAGGATCGCGCCATATCGCCGATGCATCGGCGACATCGGCGATGCATCGGCGACGCAAGCCTGGAGGAAATCGTGCTCCGCTTTGAGCCGCATCGCCGATGCATCGACGATGCGGCTCGATCCTCCGACCCCATTTGCTCGGAGCCCATCTGGGAGGCCTAGAGATGGCCAGCCAGAGTCGCTGCACGGACGGGCCGAAAGGCGCAAGGAAGTAGTCCTCCTCCTCCTCCTCCTCCTCCTCCTCCTCCTCCCCTCCTCCTCCTCCTCCTCCTCTCCTCCTCCCTCTCCTCCTCCTCCTCCTCCTCCTCCCCCATTCCTCCTCCTCCTCCTCCTCCTTGCTCCTCCTTCTCCTCCTCCTCCTCCTCCTCCTCTTTGCTCCTCCTCCTCCTTGCCCCCCCTTGCTCCTCCTCCTCCTCCTCCTCCTCCTCCTCCTCCTCCTCCTCCTCCTCCTCCTCCTCCTCCTCCTCGCTCCTCCTCACTGCGCGGGTTGACTCTGACGCTGCGGGCTGGCCTGGCGAGTGCATGGCGGGACCCCCGGGGCCCCCGCCCCGCCCGGGGCTCCCTCGGCCGCGCCTCGGCGGTCAGCACGTCGAGCTCGGCCTGCAGCCGCTTCACCAGCGCGCCCACGGCCTGCCAAGGGGGACGGCGGCATGCGGCGGCCCGCTGCGCGCGCGGCGCAAGAGGACATCGGTCCCTCTTCCTCCTCATCCCCCTCCCCCTCCCGCTCCTCCTCCTCCTCCTCCTCCTCCTCCTCCTCCTCCTCCTCCTCCTCCTCCGCCTCCTCCTCCTCCTCCTCCCCTTCCGCCTCCCCATGGTCCGGTCCGCCGCAGATGGGGGGGAGGGCGCTCCGGAGGAGGGCTGGTGTGGTGCCCACCGGTCTGCCCCCGCCCTGGCAGGCGTGTGCTGCCCTCGCGGGGGCCTCCCGGCGGCTCCTCGGGCGCCACGGCCGGATCTCCGCCTCGAGTCGGCGGCGAGCGAAGGGGGGGAAGTGAGAAGGATAGTGCGGGTGCGGCCGCAAGAGACCCTCGCCAGAAACCCAACCCTGAAAACCCGCGCGCGAAGTGCACCGGAGGGGAAACCCGGAGCAATCTGAACGCAGCAGCTCCTTCAACGGCCGCGGGAAGTCACCGCGCCGCGCGCGGAGCGAAGAAACCCAGCGAACGAAAAGCAGATGGTTTCTTGAAGCGCGCCCCCACTGTAAGGCCTTCTCAGAGGGCGGCGGGGCTTCTCAGAAGTCACTGCGCCAACCTTGCAGACGAGCTGCGCGGACTTTTGCACGGATTTCTGTACTGATGTGAATTTCGGGCGGATCTCCCGCGCGGAATACACCTCTAAAACCGTCTCCAGGACACTCCGGGCCCATCCTATCGCTTTCCGAACGAACTCCGCTCCGCGAAGTTGGCGCCATGACAGAAGCCCCCGCGCCTTCTGGGAAGCTTCCTGTGTCGCCGGGGGGAACTTTCGACAGCTTCTCAGCAGTCTGGGGAACTTCCGAGCCTTCTGCGCAGGCCCGCCCCTTCTCGCTTCCCCCCCTGGCGCCCCGCCACTCAAATGAAGTCGGGCCTGTCCCCCTACAGGGGGATTTTCGACGAAAAATAAAAAAAATACCCCCAGAGTCCGAAAATAATCCAAAAATAGTCTGGGGACTATGTTTTGAATATTTTTGGCCTGTTTGGAGGCACCCCGAGTCAGGGGGCACCCGCCGGAGGGGGGCCCCGAGACCGAGCTTGAGCGCGTCCTGGCCGGGCGGCGGAGCCGCCGCTGCCTCACCCGGCCTTGCTCTTTTGACCAGGGACCGACCGTCCTGGCATTCCCATAGTCCTGCTACAAAATGTCCTCAGAACCCAACAATCGGGGATGGACAGACCTCCCTTTAGTAAAACGTGGTTTAGTGAAAACGGCTTCGGGCCCAAACCTGGCGGGCGCAAGCCTGGAAAATAACGGCCACGGCGCCCTCTCGAAAACCGAAAACGGACAATTCACTAATCGACGTGTCACTGTTGGGGGTTCTGTCCACCCCCGAAACAAATGTTCTAAGAACATGAATAGGGAAACAAAAAGTGGCATAAACGTAAACACTCGGAGGTCCGCGCGGATTTCTCGGCTCGGCGCTGGGGCCCCCTGGCGGTGCCTCCGGCGCCGCCCCTGGCGCGCTCGCGCGCCAGGGAGGGAGGTCCAGCGCCGATCCGAGAAATCCGCGCGGACCTCCGAGTTTGTATGTTTATGCCACTTGTTCTTCCCCTAAGAAACAAAGTCCTCTTAGAACACAAGCCCGACGCGTCAAAACACAAGCCAATCCCAGCCAGACATGTTCCGAGAACCTCTCGTGGAAAAGCCACAACAAAGGTTCCTAGAAGCCTGCCCGGCAGGACTATGGGCACGCCAAGACGCTCCGCCACTGCCTGACGCCCCCCGCGAGCGGGGGGCTCTCCGAGGGGGGCGCCCTCAGCGGCGGCCGGCCGAGGGGCCCTCCGTTCCGAGGAGGAGGAGGAGGAGGAGGAGGAGGAGGAGGAGGAGGAGGAGGAGGAGGAGGAGGAGGAGGAGGAGGAGGAGGAGAGGGAGGTCTAACGCCACGGGCCACAGGGTGCCGGGCTGTCCATGATCATCCGTGGGTCCCCCGAAACCCAAAAGGCCTTCGCGAGGCGAGCCCCCGCCCCGAGCATGTCCGGAAAACGTTGCGCTCTGCTGGGTCTCACTCATGCGCGACATGCCATGCGCGAGGGATCCACCTCCCCTCCTGCTCCTACTCCTCCTCCTCCTCCTCCTCCTCCTCCTCCTCCTCCTTCTCCTGTTTGAGCCCCGATGCTTTCTGAACCCTCGGCCCACCAGCGACGGCCGCCACCCCTGCCTCCTGTGACGGGTGGGACAGGTGGACGGCACCCGCAGCAGAGAGCCCAGAATCGGATCGATCCGTCGGGTCGGCAGTCGAATGAAGTCGGATCGGGGGACATCGGCAGCCGAGTCGGGAGAAATTGAATCGGCGGAAATCGGCAGGCTAGTACGTCTCCATTGAGAAATCGGATCCCGAATCGGAATCCCGAGTTGAATCGAATCGGAATCGGAGGCAATCGCAATCGAATCGAATCGAATCGGAGGAACGTAACTACTCAAAACTTGATCGAGGTGGCGGCAACCTTCTGGACGCTCCAAATGACACCGAGCCTGACGACGCCACTGCAACTCCGCAACACTCGTCTTTCCAGCACCCCTTCGAACCCCAGTCACGGAGGAGCCACGAGCAGGCGCCAGGCGTGACGGCCCAAACTTGTAGATACTCCACGGACCATTGACGATCGCGGATTTCGCTTACCCGCGCTCGGCGTGAACTCCGTCTCCTGCAGCCCCACCGCCAGATCCCGCGAATCCAGAAGCTTGCGGGGCGGGGCGGCATCCACAACCACCGCCCAGGGGATCGATCTCCGGGGACCTCAGCAGGCGCGGGATATGGACTATGGATTTGTGTAGCTCCCCGAGGGCCCGAATATGTCATCATCCACCGCCTGCCGATGTCCCCGAAGATCGCCCCCCAAGGTGGTGGTTATAGACCCACCGACCCCTGCTGGCTGGGGTTGCAGGAGCGTGTCAGATGATTGGCCGTCCCCCTCCCCCGCTCCCCCTCCCCTGACGTTTGAAATCCGATTCGAGTTAAGTCGGGCGTTACCCCCTGGAGGCGGATTTTGGACGAAAAATAAAAAATAGCAAAACATGCACAAAAAAACAAAACAAAACAAGAAAACGTCCCCTGATCATTCTCTGTCTATGTTTGACTGTTCTTCCTGTAGAGGGGCACGCCCGACTTACGATTAGAGGGGCGGGGGATCCCAGGGGGGGGAGGGACGAACTCGCCAACGCACCCAAGGGAGCCTCCGGCGCCCCCGACTCTACACTCCGAGGCCTCCAAGATGCCCAGGCTTCCATCCCAGAAGGTTAAGCCGGGCCCCAACACGCCGAGGGGCCCTCACAAAAGGATCACGATGGCCTCCAGACTGCCCCGGGAGGCCTCGACGACACCCCAAAGAGGGCTCCAAGACGACCCCCGAGAGAGGGCCACGAGCGGCAAGCCTATCGTCAGAGGCCGCTGGGAGCACATCTCTACTTCGAGCATGCTCGCATCTCTTGTCTCCACGGCGTGCAAGACGGCCCGAGGGCCCCCCCCCAAAAGTCGCTCCAGGTCGGCCCGAGAAGCCTCAAAGAAGAGGGCGGCCCGCGAGGCGCCCAGGATGGGCCGGGAGAGCCCCCGGCAGGGCCCCGCAGAGGGGAGCAGCTCGAAGACTGCCACTCCGAGCCCTCCGCCCAGCGAGGACCCCCCGCCCACCCCCGAGACCGCCAGCAGGGCACCACAGAGGGGGGCAGCTCGAAGACTGCCGCTCCGAGCCCTCCGCCCAGCGAGGACCCCCCCCCCCGAGACCGCCAGCAGGCCGCCCGAGAAGCTCCCCAGCAGCCCTTTTGGAGGCCCCCCGAGAGGCCCCCCGAGAGGGCCTCCAGAGGCCTCGCGCGGGGAGTGCATCCCTCCCCCGGGGGTCGGCCGAGCCCCAGGACGATGTTGTCCCCATCGTTCTTCAGGACCACATCCCGGAATTCATGTCGAGCACCCGGAGAAGTGTCAAACAAGAGTGTCGAAACAGTGTCGGGCGAATGTCCCCCAGGGCCCGACACGTGAAAACCCTCGAGATTCGGTGCTGTTTTGGTGCTCGGAACCTTTCCTGACATGAACGGGAAGCGCGTGAAAGGACAGAGCTGCGCAAGAACGTGCAGCATCATCACGATAAAATGTAATGTAGGCGAGCTCTCCCAACGTCCACAGGGGATACCCACGGACACGCGCTCCCTGAACGTCCACAAGGAGAGTCCTGATTATCCTCCTCACTTCCCTGTACGCCTCCAATGTCGTCCGTCTATCCCTCACTTATCTGATGTGTTCGAAGGCCCGTCCGAAGGCACACACACGCACACACACACAGGAGGAAGAGGCTCTGGTACGTTTTAGAAGACCTCCTCAAAAGCATTTGCAAGGGGGATGTCTCGAGCGAAACGCTTACTTATCTGATGTGTTCGAGTAGGAGGGGGCGAAGGAGATGGAGGAACGTGAGGAGCAGACGGCCCTCACGACTGCCCAACAGAGCCTCACAACACGATCAGATACAATAATTTAGTATAGAGGAAGTCTCATATACAAGGACCATCGTACACGAGGAAGATCATATACAACGAAGGCCATATTCAAACATGATCATATACAACTAAGGGGCCGCCCACCCGCCGTCTCGCCATAGGCGACTGCACCGCCCCTACTCCTGGGGGTCCCTGGGCGGCCATAGCGTATCCCTGGGATTGTCCAGGGATTCAATGACGGCCCAGGGAGCCCACCCAGGCCACCAAGATAGCCCAGAATCGCTCCAAGGCGGCCCAAGATGGCCTCCAGACGGCCCAAAAGGCCTCCAACACGCCCCAAGAGGCCTCCAAGAGCCCTGCCAAGAGACATCATATACAAGGAATGTCATAGACAAGGGCGATCATATACAAGAACTTAATGTAAAAGGACCAAGTATCATATACAAGGTTATCCAAGAACACCCCGAACATATGTCTCATAGCAGCTCTTTCGACATCCCATGTTTTCGAGGATGTCTCAGGCGAAACGGCCGTTTTTGAAGTTCCGAAGATTCGGCCAGCGATTTCAATATGCCGATTGTTTGAGGATGTCTCAGGCGAAACGCTCATTTTTAACATAAGACGTCTTAAGACACGACCCCCAACTTTACGATTTGGCGAGGACGTCTCAGGCGAAACGCTCGTTTTGGGAATCCGCCAGGCTCTGAATCACGAGGCGGCGCCGCACGTTCCCCCTCCAGACCTCCCCCAGTTGATAAGTAAATCCCTCTGGGCAAACAGACGTCCATCGCGCGACTCTTCGAGTCTTGGCGCGCTTCCCGTCATCCGCCGGCCCCCTTGTGGGGCCACCAGGCTGTAGGCAGAAGGTTCGCAGTTTCCTGTACCAGTTGCAGCTTCCAGTTTCCACTGTTACAGTTCTGCTTCTTGCTGCTTGCTGTTCCTTGTTGATGGACCGCGCGAGGGGGGGGAGGCCCGAACTGGCAGGTTTAGCACGCCATGAGCGTGTGCTCTGAAATGCTGGGGTGGATAAAAATTTGCACCCCTCATGCAGATCGGCGGGGTCAGGGTCCAAAAACACATGGGATTTGCCACATTTCTAAATTTCGGTGGCACCCCTGGCGCAGATCGGCGGGGTCAGGGTCCAAAACATGGGATCTGCCACATTTCTGAATTGCTGGCTCCCCTCACTCAGATCGGCGGGGTTAGGGTCCAAAAACCCACGGGATTCTCAACATTTCTCAAATTCGGTGGCACTCCTCACGCAGATCGGCGGGGTCAGGGTGCAAAAACGCAAAGGATTTGCCACATTGTTGAAATTCGCTGGCACCCCGCACGCAGATCGGCGGGGTCAGGGTGCAAAAACACAAAGGATTTGCCACATTGTTGAAAATCGGTGGCATCCCTCACGCAGATCGGCGGGGTCAGGGTCCGAAAATCCAGGGGATTATCAACATGTTTGAAATTCGGTGGCACCCCTTACGAGGATTTACAGGGTCTGGGTCCAAACACACACAGGAGTTGCGGCATGTTTAAATTCAGTAGCACCCCTCACACAGATCGGCTGGGTCAGGGTCCAAAAACACATGGATTTGCCACATTTCTGAAATTCATACAACAGCGAGTGCAACAATAGACTCGCAATCTCCATGCGTTTTGCAAATTACCCGTCGTCTTCGCACGAAGTTCCGACGCTGCTTCACGGTGAAGCCCAAGCCTCATGACTTCGCTCTTCCATGGCCCATCCTCCGAGAGAGGGGGCCGGCGGCAGGGGGCGAAGCCCTGACAGATTATTTCTGGTGATCTGGGCGGAAGTAGGTTGGGACATCATTAACCCCAGGAGTGAAACCCAGCCCCGAACCTTGGGCGCCCAGGTGGCCACGGGTCTTACAGGCGCGAGCCAGCAAGATCGGCGCAGGCTGGGCCACAGAAGGCCGGGGTGCGAGGGTGGCATCCATGGGAAAAACCTCCACCGCACCACAGGCGGCGGCTGTAACGACATACTGACCCGGGTCAATCTGGGCCCGGGTCAGCCAGGCCTGGCATGATCCGGCACACTCCTGCAGGATCCTGCAGGAAAGCCCGTGCGGTCGCGCCTCGTCGGCACCGCCCCCGGTGCCGCCGCCCTGACCTCCCCACAGCCTGTGCGCCCGGGAGGCGCTCGTGCAGAGATGGGAGGACCCCTGGAGACCACGGCGGCCCCTCTCCCGCCTGGCCCACATCCGTGCCAGGGGGGGTGCTGCGGAGACTCGGGGTTTGCGTGGTTGGGGTGCTCCGGCGGATGCACCGTGCTGTCGTGGGTCGCTGCCGTCGAGGTGGTTTCACCGTGAGAGGGCGGGGGAAGAAGGAGGAGGATCGAGGAGGAGGAGGAGGAGCAGGAGGAGGAGGAGGATCGAGGAGGCGAACCGAGGAGGAGGAGGAGGAGGAGGAGGAGGAGGAGGAGGAGGAGGAGGAGGGGGAGGAGGATCCCTGGACCACCCCCGGGGCCCAGGCCGACCCGCTCTTCTTCGCGGCGGCTCCAGCGGAGGCGACGAGGAGGCCCGCGGGTGGCGCCCCCCCCAGAAAAGAGGACGACCGCGTGTGCGGGAAGCGCCCGCGGCGCAGGCGAGGTGCCCAGGCTGCCTCGGCGGGCCGGCCTCCGAGTGGAAGGCGGTCGGCCTGTCTCCCGTCTCGGGCGCGCCGTGGAGAGGTGCCCGCAGCAGGGCGTGAGGGGGGTGCGCATCGTGGTCTGAGGCATGTGCGCGGACGGGCGGGCGGCGGGGGACGCATTGAGAGAAGAAGGCGACGAAGAAGAAGAATAATGATAAGAAGAAGGAGACGAAGAAGAAGAAGAAGAAGACGAAGAAGACGAGAAGAGGAGGAAGACGAAGAAGACGGAGAAGACGAAGAAGACGAAGAAGAGGAAGACGAAGAAGACGAAGAAGAGGAAGACGAAGAAGACGAAGGAGACGAAGAAGAAGAAGACGAGGAGGGGGCCAAGATAGCTGCGAGATCTCCTTCGGGCGCCCGCCAGCGTGGACAGCGGAGCCGCGGCCCCGGCGCGCGGACGCCAGAGATCCGCGGATCGGGGAGCGTGCCCCCCCGGAACCACGAGGCCAGCGCGGCCGGACTCGGCGACGGGGCGCGCCGCACTTGCACGGAACCGGGAGCCGTCAATCCTCCGCGCGCCGTGCGCGACTGCCCGGCGGTCGGAAGACGTGGGCGGAAGCAGGAAGCAGGAAGGCGTGAGGCAGTGGATTGGGCCTCCGCCATCCTCGCAAGGACGAGGGACACGAGAGCACCGCTAGTGAAGGGGCCCAGGGACACACTAATACGCACACAGACAGCACAGGATTCCCCATATTTTATAGTTTCTGGGTTTTCGTCTTCCCCCCCACTTCTAATAGTTTCCCATATTTCCCTGAGAGTCGACGATTAATTGTGTCTGTGTTTCTTCCCCTCCTGAGCTAGACTCTTGAAGTAGGAAGGCGCCTGGAGTAGATTGGGATCTAGACATCCAGGCATACCTACTGACAACGGCCAGCGTGCAATCCACGCGCCTTGCAAGACGGCCCCCTGGTCCTCGCGTCCCTCTGGTGCGCACCGGAGACCTGGTCACGACGTCGACGACGACGACCACGACGAAGGCACCGACGACGCCGCCGCCGACGTCGACGAAGACGACGTCGACGACGACGGCGACGAAGACGGCGACGACGACGGCGACGACGACGGCGACGCCGACGACGACGGCGACGGCGACGGCGACGACGCCGACGACACGACGACAACGGCGGCGTCCCCCCTCTCGTGGCCTCGGCAGCCCCGCCAGGCTTGCTGAGCGTGGCCTGCGGCGGAGCTGTAGGCCCCCAAGCTGCGCGCTCCCAACGGGCGCTCTGGAGGATGAGGCCAAGAGCAAGACGAACACGGGAAGAACAACTCAGGAGGCAACTCCTGGGAGGTCTTCGCAAGAACGATAAACCTGGTCAAGGAAACTACAAGCCGCAATAACCACTTTACGCCATCTATTAATACGGATGAGACGGAATTCAGCGGCTTTGAACGGGGTGACGCCAGATGGGGCATGTTGTCGGCCACGGGTAGGCCAGCGCCGACTCTGAATTTGACATCCTGGGAGTTGCATCCTGAACCAGCGTAGGATGACAATCGACAGGAAACACAAAAAATAAGGATCTGGAGGAGCAGGAGGAGCAGGAATATCAGGAGGAGCAGAAGGAGCAGCAGGAGCAGCAGGAGGAGCAGGAGCAGGAGGAGGAGGAGGAGGAGCAGGAGGAGCAGGAGGAGGAGGAGGAAGAGCAGCAGCAGCACCACCAGCAGCAGGAGCACTTCAGAGCACAGCTTTTCTGCCGCTGTGGGCGGTGGACGGATCGTATTGGCGACGACGGCCCTCGCGGGCAGGCCTTGGAACTGGTGACTTCGGCAGCGCCCAGGGTACTGCCGCGTGCCGGACCTTCCCCCTGGAACAACCCGAAATCGATCTTGTGGTAGGTCGAGCATGTCCCCCTACAGGCGGAGTTCGGCCGAAATGTTATGGTTTTCTCCCCTCCCGCGTCCCACCCGCGACGCTCCCCCCCCACACTCAGAAACATACACACGCACAAACACAAACACAAACACAACACACAATCGATAACACAATCACACAAACACATACACACACACACACGCACACACACACGCACACACACGCACACACACACGCACACACACGCACACACGCACACGCACACACGCACACACGCACACACGCACACACGCACACGCACACGCACACACGCACACACGCACACACGCAAACACAAACACACACACACACACACACGTACACACGCACGCACACGTACACGCACACGCACACGCAAACGCACACGCACACACACACACACACGCACACTCACACGCACACGCACACGCACAGACACACCCACACACACACACCCACACCACACGCACACACGCCACACGCACACGCACACGCACACGCATTCGCACTCGCACTCACACACGCACACGCACACGCACACGCACACGCATGCGCACGCGCACATGCGCACACACGTTCACACGCGCACACGCGCACACGCGCACACGCGCACACGCGCACACGCGCACACGCGCACACGCGCACACGCACACGCAAACGCACACGCGCACACGCGCACGCGCACACGCGCACACGCGCACACGCGCACACGCACCCACGCACCCACGCACCCACGCACGCACGCACGCACGCACACACGCAAACACGCACACACGCGCACACGCACGCACGCACGCACGCACGCACATACGCACACACGCACACACGCAAACACGCACACACGCGCACACACGCACACACACACACACGCACGCACACACGCACACACGCACACAGACACACACACGCACCCACACCCACACCCACACCCACAAACACACAACACACAACACACAACACACAACACACACACACACCACACACACCATACACACACAACACACACACACACAACACACAACACACACACAACACACAACACACACACACACACACACCTCACGTCCCTCACGGTCCAGGCTCGGAAAGTGTGGCACGCGTGGTGCTTTCTCGATACCAAGGAGGGTGTGAAAGGGGGTGGTCCCTGAGCGCTCTCTACACCGTCCACGCTCGGAAAATGTGGCAACCGTGGTCTCGACACCATGGGGTGTGCGCAGGGGGTGGTTTCTGAGCGCGGTCTCTGTACGGTCCACGGTCCAAGCTTGGAACGTGTGGCAGGGGTGGCAGTTTCTTGACACCAGAGGCGGTCCGCAAGCTCGGACAGTTTCGTGTGGGTGGCAGTGTGTTGACACCAAAGGGGTGCGCACGGGGTGGCCTCTGAGCGCGGTCTCTATACGGTCCAGGTTCGGCAAGTGTGGCATGCGCGGCAGCTTCTCGACAACAGAGGGAGTGCGCAGGGGGGGGTCCCCAGGCTTGCATAGTGCAGCAGGAGTGACAGTTTCTTGACACCAGAGGGAGTGCGCAGGGGGCGGTTCTTGAGTGCGGTCTTTATACGGCGTAGGGGTGGCAGTTTCTCGGCGCCCTCAGGGTACTCAGACTCCCGAGGCTTGGCTGGCGTCACCAACGAATCGGCGGGGCAACGGACACCAGCATCATTCTCGCATGTTTCATTTCAGCCATCATCACTCCAGACATACCAGAAGCATGTGGGTTTCCTCGGCAGTGCAGTGTTTGTCATTTTTCGTTTCCCCACGAATGTTCCCTCCACTTCCCTGAACCGCCCCGCGAGCCTACAGGAGGAGGAGGAGGAGAGGAGGAGGAGGAAAAGGAGGATGGGGAGGAGGAGGAAGAGGAGGAAAAAAGTGGAAATGGGCTTTTCCTTCTCGCTCCCCCCCCCCGCTCGCCGCCGAGTAAGCACCACCCGTGCAGCTGGGCCGCCCAATCCTTCGCGCCCTGGAGCCCCGCGGGGCGCAGGTCCCTCGGCGCCCCTGCGCCCACCTGCTGCCCAACGTTGGGAACCTCATCCTGCTGTGATCCAAACTGCGAAGCGCGCGACGCGCGACTGCATAAATTTGCCCGTCGGGGGCGAGGCCCGGCGTGTGGCACTTTGACTCGGGGCAACTGAGGTGGCCAATCCACCGGCGTGCAAAAGAGGGGAGACGGTGGCGGCCGCGGCGAAGACGGAGGGAAGGCGGAGCACTCGGCAGGGGCAGACTTCCACGTCGAGCGGGCCGGGGCGGCCGGCCGTGGCAGCGGTGCCCGTGGCAGCCGCCGGGGCGAGGGCGAGGGCGCACCCGCGGGCCTCCAGGGCGACTACGGTCCATCCGTGTATAGAAGGACGCGCGGTGAGGCCGCGCCCGGGCCTGGCAAGGCCATGTTTTCACTCTGCGGGCGGGGCGCGGCCGGCGAAAGCGGCCGAGGCTGGGCCGAACGGGACGGACGCAACAACAACCTTTTGGAAAGTCGATCGTCCTTACTGTATGGGTTGACTGTGCCTTTGCGGGGCGCCAATGGGCACACCACCACCAGGCGGCCAGAGGAAAGGGAACGATCCTGCGCGCGACCGCCCTGGCAGGGGTGCTACTGCCTGCCCCGCTAAGCGCAAGTACTTGCCACGCGGCCATGCGCACAGATGGCGACCGTATTCGGTCGCGAACAGTTGCTCCCAAGCACCATATGGCAGCACGGGGGTGGTGCAAAAAAACGATGGGACCCCCAGGAATGTTATACACCACCCCGAAATATACACCACGTGAATGTGCTGGTTTTTGCGCATGCAAGCGCGTGCCCAAATGACGCTGCACACGCGACATGTCATTACCGCGATATTTGACGCACCCTGCAACCCACCGCCGCAACAAAAACGCGGTGGCCCCCTGGGTGACGAGGGCCCAGCAGAGCAAATGTCAAGGATGGTGGCTGGGGCGTTGGCATTGCTGGTCGAGTCGGTGTGGAAGAGCAGTCTGAAGCATCAAAGCGGGAGCCCGAAACTCAGAACTAACACTTCGTGACTTCGTGACCCCAAATGGCGGTAAGCGGGGTGGGGTCCTGCGTGGACCGTCTGCAAAAACAGCCAAGCAGCATGTGGATTGCGAAATGATGGTTCGGCCTGCTTGGGTAACTTGAAACTGCGTAGGCGCTCTACAATAACAACCACCGCACTAATTAACCACCAAATCGTTCATTCCATCTTCTCCACTGCCCCCTGCTCACTCTTAGAGGGCCCTGGAATCGGCGCAACCATTGATGAAACCGTTGGCCCTTGAATATGACAACGCGGCTGACAACGCATGTAAAGACGAATCACAGAAACAGAAACGCAGACTCTGCCAGAATCGGGACCGCATCCGGAACCGAAAAGACAGAGGAGACGGGACTGGAACACACAGCTGACACAAAGAAGCCGGCGAAAAAGTGCCCTGTCGCTTCCAGGGCCAGCGCCCTCCCATTCTCCTCCTCAAAGACTCTCTGGTGCCCCGCCCTGCGCTCCCCTCCCACACACCCCACCTGACCCAGCCCTCCCCGCCCAGGGCCACCTCTCCGCTGGGCCTCTATTCGCATGTCTCGAGGGGAGCTGCCGCGGCATGGCCCGAGGCACGCGCGCGGACGACTGGGGGGCCATGGAGCGTGGTGAACGACGAGGGGGCCGTGGAATCGGCGAGGCAGCATGGCCCATGCCAGGATGCTCCCTCACACCCCTGGCCCTCGCCCCCCCCCCCGAACCCTTACCTTGGACGCACCCGACCTGTGCGCCCGCGCCACCGCCGCCGTGCGCCGCAGGGGGCCGCCGGCTTGCAGTTGGCCGACCGACCCGACCGCCACCAGGCCGGCCCCCCTGACTCTGGCCCGCCTCCGGCTCTCTCCCCCGTGCACCTCGGCCTCCCCCCCCCGGCCTCCCCGTGGCCCCCCCCCCCCTGGGGCCCCAGGCCTCCCACCGCTGGCCGCTGGCCCCCCCCCCCTGGGGCCCCAGGCCTCCCACCGCTGGCCGCCACCTGGCAGGGGCCCGCGGGGCTGGCCTGCAGCTGGCTGATCTCCTGCTCCTTGGCCCGGAGGCTCGCCAGGCAGAGGTGCGTGCGCAGGGCGGCCTGGGCCGAGTGTCCTCCTCCTCCTCCTCCTCCTCCTCCTCCTCCTCCTCCTCCTCCTCCGTAGCCATTTTGGCTCAAGGCCGGCCTCGGGCGCGCGCGGGCGGGCTCGAGAAAATGGCACGGGCGGAGTCGCCGCGCGGCGATTCCACGGCGGGGCAGCGGCGCTCGCGCGCGGAACGCTCCGCTGCCAGGCGGCGTGCACTGGCTGCTGTGGACCGCGGGCTCGGTGCGGCGCTGGCGGACGCAGCTCGGCTGCGTTCTGAGCTGGCGGAGGCCCGAGCGATGCATTCGGCGGTGCTGGAGGCAGTGGCCGACAGCGAAATGGGCAGGCGGCTGGCGGCCGTGGCCCCCGCCCTCGCTGCCCTCCTGCGCGGGATGCAGCCCACGCCCACGCAGAAACTGCGCAGGGATGTCGCGCTGCACGCGGCGGCGGGCGGGCTCGACGTGTCGATCGCCGACGACCGCCAGCTGCGGGCGGCGAGGCGCGGGCCTCGCCTGGGCCCGCAGGTGCACTCGGAGAGCGCCATGCAGGTGTGCGTGGCGGAGGTCTGCGAGGAGGAGCCAGCGGTGCTCCTACCAGCAGCGGCGCTTTCGCGGCGCACGCCTCTGCGCTCAACCGCGACGCCGTACATCCCGGGGCCGTCTGGGGCTTGGGGCCAGCCGGCCCGCCTGCCGTCTTGTGTGGATGTCGCCGAGGCGGTGCTGGAAGGGCTCGGCTGTGGGCCCTTGGCCATGGCCGACAGGGCTGAGCCTGGCCCTCCCCGTGAGGGGGGTTGGAAGGCAGACGCGGGCGGTGCTGCAGGCAGTGGGAAGCTGCCGCCGCCGGCGCATTTGGAAGGCCATGCTGAACGTCAGCGTGGCGCTGCGGCCTGGTGGAGAGCGCGGGCGCACGTTGCCAGCGCCTGGCTCGGCGTGCCCATCACCGAGGAGGTCTGTAGAGACGCGGCCGCAGGCGATCAGATGAAGGTGAAGGGCAAACAGGTCGCGAAGGACATCAGCCTTGGGGGCGGCCTCACGTACGTGTCGGGGCCCGAGGCTTTCGAGATGTTCCAGAAGCGCAGGAAGTTCGTGAAGGCGATCAGGCACTGGAGGCGGCTCGTGATCGGGGCCGTCGCGGAGGCCGACATTGCCTTGTGGGACTTCGTCTACAAGGTCGGCGTGGGCGGAGGCTGGCGTTAAACCCAGTCTCAGCCTACGCTCAGGGAGGGATCCTGAGGGGTCCCGCGCGTGAATTCTTTGCGTGACCTTTTAGGTCTAGTCTAGCCTCCTCCTCCTCTTCCTCCTCCTCCTTCTCCTCCTCCAGAGCTCCTCCTCCTCCTCCTCCTCCTCCGCCAGAGCTCTCCACACGACGACCCCGGGAAGGGGCGCGCCGGCTGGCGGCCTGCGCGCATCGACGGTTAAGGCCCCAGCACTGCGGCTGGAATCCCAGCTTCGATCTAAGGCGCCGTCACCTCTTTGAAGGGGCCCCAGGACACACAAATAAATACACACAAATAAAAAGATGCCCCATATTTTCCCATATGTTCTGGGTTTCTGTCTCCCCCCCCGCTTCCCATATGTTCCCATATTTTCTGGGGAATCGACTGTTCATTGTGTCTGTGTGTTTCTTTTCCTCCTGATTCTTGGGTACCCGAGTTGCCATTCGCAGCCCGGTAATGCGACGCGCATAGCGTATAGCCGGTCCCTGGGAGCCACAAGCGGCCCCTGATTGGATCGCGCCTGCTCGATGAGGTAATCGTGCTGCTCGCGGATGAGTCGGCGAGCAGAGGGCGGAGAAAAGGGTGGCGTACATGAGTATGGTAACATCATGTGGCATTGCGATATCATCATCAAGACGCTCTGCTGTGTGCGACTCGCATCGCACTGACGCCCGACACATAACAAACATGAATGTTTGTTTTGGCATCACCGGCTGTCTGCATGCAGGGACATACGATCAAGGAGTTCTTGTGAAATGGCCCAAGAAGCTCATGTTGCATCGATGAGCTTCAACAAGCATCGCAGGACACTATGGATAAGGAACTAAGCGTTGACTCTCGGATGATATTCTTCCAGACGATGATCGCTCTTGTCCGATCTGCCGTCGTGTTCGGTAGCTTTGCCCGAGGTGAACTAACTGGACGTTGTGCAACGACGGATGCTTTGGAAAATCATGGTCTGGACTCGGCGCGAAGACGGACCTTGGGAAGAGACAGTGCGAAGGACGACGTTAAAAAAGCGATGCTGCTTAGATGCGCACCCAATGGATACTTGCAGCGTTCAACTCTTTCGCCACCAGCTCAGACTGGCACATCGAATGGGCACCGTGGGGGATCGCTGGCCTGCTCGTGCATCCGAGTGGTACCCGCCGCCAGCGTCAGCAATCCAGAGCTGTAAGATCACGGGCGCAAAGTTTAGACAAGGATGCCGGAGACAAAACCAATCAAAGTCTGTGTAGGGCTATAGGGCTACATAGGACGATGGGACTATGATCCTATAGGGCTATGGGGCTGTAGGGCTATAGGGCCGTAGGGCTATAGGTCTATAGGGATATAGGGATATACGGCCATAGGGCTGTAGGGCTATAGGGGTATGGGGCTATGGGGCTCTGGGGCTCTAGGGCAATGGGGCCGTAGGGCTATGAGTCTATAGGGCTATAGGACCATAGGGCTATAGGGCCATGGGGCTATGGGGCTCTGGAACTCTGGGGCTATAGGGCTATAGGCAGATAGAGCTATAGAGCTATAGGGCAACAAGGCTATAAAGCTACAGGGAGCTGCTACAGGTGCCCCTCCTCCTCCTCCTCCTCCTCCTCCTCCTCCTCCTCCTCCTACATCCTCCTCCTCCTCCATCCTCCTCCATCCTCCTCCCTCCTCCATCATCCTCCTCTCCTCCTCCATCCTCCTCCTCCTCTCCTCCGTCCTCCCTCCTCCTCCTCCTCCTCCTCCTCCCTCCTCCTCCTCCTCCTCCTCCTCCTCCTCCTCCTCCTCCTCCTCCTCCCTCCTCCTCCTCCTCCTCCTCCTCCATCCTCCTCCTCCATCCCTCCATCCTCCTCCATCCTCCTCCTCTCCTCCATCCTCCTCCATCCTCCTCCATCCTCCCTCCTCCTCCTCCTCCTCCTCCATCCTCTCCTCCTCCTCCCTCCTCCTCCTCCTCCTCCTCCTCCTGCGTCCTCCTCCTCCTCCTCCTCCGCTCCTCCCTCCTCCTCCTCCCCTCTCCTCCTCCTCCCTCCTCCCTCCTCCCTCCTCCTCCTCCTCCTCTCCCTCCTCCCTCCTCCTCCTCTCCTCCTCCTCATCCTCCTCCTCCTCCATCCTCCTCCTCCTCCTCCATCCTCCTCCATCCTCCTCCTCCTCCTCCCTCCTCCTCCTCCTCCTCCATCCTCCTCCATCCTCCTCTCCTCTCATCCTCCTCTCCTCCTCCTCCCTCCTCCTCCTCCTCCTCCTCCTCCTCCTCCGTCCTCCTCCTCCTCCTCCTCTCCTCCTCCCTCCTCCCTCCTCCCTCCTCCCTCTCTCCTCCTCCTCCCTCCTCCCTCCTCCTCCTCCCTCCTCCTCCTCCTCCTCCTCCCTCCTCTCTCCTCTCCTCCTCCTCCTCCTCCTCCCCCCTCCTCCTCCTCCTCCTCCTCCTCCTCCTCCCTCCTCCTCCTCCTCCTCCTCCTCCCCCTCCCCCCGGCGGGCGGCACCCGCCGGCGGCCTCGCGCCACTGGCTCGCCTGGCAGGGGGGGGGAGGCAGCAGGGCGAGCGGGGCGCGCAGGGCGACGGACACGCAGGGGGGAGGAGCTGCTCGGGGCGACGCGCCCAGGAGTGCCAGCGAGGAGAGAGAGGCCTTCTCAGAATCGGGGGCCGCCGACGAGAGCGAGTTGCCTGCTTCCGGATCCTGCCTGAACAACTACGGGGGCGACGCACTGGTCGGAGGAAGTGGGCAGAAGCAGGGGGCAGGAAGGCGTGGAAAGTGGACTGGGATCCGTCCGCCCCCTTGGGAGGACGGAGCAAGGTGAGGCCACTCGGTCATCGAAGTAGGAAGGCGCTTAAGTCGGGGGCGCGCAAACATGAACCATCGATCCATGGACTTGGCGCGCGGTCGCCAAACCCATGGATGTGGGGAGGTGCCCGCCCCAAAATGCGGCCAATGCCGCCTCGTTCGGCGGCGGAAATCCGCGATGTCCGATGTCCGATGGGAACGGGGCACGTCGCTGATCCACGTCCCCTCGATCCGTGTTTGCGATCGCCTGGCAAAAGGTTCGGAGGTCCTCCGGACTTCTGACGAAGACGCGCAGAACAACTTCTCAGAAGGCCGGAGGGCCTCTGAGAAGCCCCGCCGCATTCTGAGAAGGCGTTCTCCTTTTCACTTCCCCCCCTCGCTCGCCGCCGACACGGAGAAGCAGGGCGAGGAGGAGCAGGACAAGGACGTCGACGACGAGCTGGAGGACGACTGGGAACCGACGAGGACGAGGACGCGGAGAAAAACAACAACGACGAAAGACAAGAAAACGCGGGGCAAGAGGAGGAGGAATGACGACGGCGACCAAGAATCCATGAGGTATGCAGATCCACCTCCTGCGCGACCTGGTTGCCTCTGAGGTCGCGGCAATCGAGGATGCGGGTGGAGTCGCCGCGCAAGCCCCTCGACACGCGTTATCAACTGGCACCGCCCAACTAGGCTGCGACCCCTAGTCGCCTTTCGGTCCGAAGAACTCGCCCAGGTCGAAGTCTGACCCCTCACTTCCCCCCCGTCTCAGGGAAGTCACCTCCAAAGCACAGCCATCAGACGAGGCGAGTACGCAGCTGCCCCCAACGCCCGAGGCGGTCCCCGACGCGGGACTCCCGTGCGCGAGCACGCGGCGGCCCTCAGCGCCTGGCTCGTCCCCGAAGCAGGGCGCCCAGGACAATGATGCGGCTGCCCGTGGCGCCTGGCCATCTCCCGAAGCAAGAGTCCCATCGGCAATTATGAAGGGGCCCCAGGACACACAAATAAATACACACAAATAAAGATATTCCCATATTGTTCAATATGTTTGGGGTTTTTGTCTTCCCCCCCACTTCCCATATTTTTGTATATTTTCCTGGGAGTCGACGATTAATTGTGTCTGTGTGTCTCTTTCCCTCCTGAAATTATGCGGTCGCCTTCAACGCCTGGCCCGTGCTCCTGGAAGCTGGCGCCCACGTCGCACCGGCGGCCATTGAGAGACTGGCGGCTGCCATTCCAGCTCACGATCAGAGGGGGTCTCGTGTCAACGTCCTTAGTCACTTCATCCTGAGTGACGGCTCCACGACTGCATCTGGGCGGCTGGCATGACGCTGCTGCCGGTCCTCGGACTCTCCGCGGATCAGCCGAGCAAGCAATCGTGCGACTCCCCCCGGCGACTTTCGCTCTGCTTCCCCGCCCGGGGTGTTCCCCGCGCGCCGTACTTCCCAAGGGTCCCCAGCACAAGGCCGCGGCGACGTCGAAACTGCCTCCTCGGGGTTTGCGACGGCGCGCCCCAGATCCCGGCTAGCGGTGCCACTTGTCAGTGGGGCAACTACGCGGTTGCAATCAACGCATGAAAAGAAACAACGCACAAAAACAAACCGCCGCATAGCCGCCAGCAGACTAATTAACCCACAACAGCTCGGAAAGAAATGGCAAACTGAGCGTCCAAGGCCTTCCCTCATGTCGCCCGCTACCCCCCCCACCTGCCCTCGCCCCTGGGAAGCGCCAGCCCACCTCGCGGGTGGCCCCAGGTAACGGTATAGCCTTGCGCGGCACCTCTGCAGGGATTCTGCACGACTGCAAGACGCTGTCGGGCATCGTTGACCAAAGGATTTGCAGCGAAACGGGCTGCAGACGCACGACGGCCCTCAATGTCTTCTGGCACATGCACCGCAAGGTCTCCTGGATGGAGTGCCTCCAGGGACGCTCGCAGATCCTCCTCCATGGCCCAGGTGAAGACTGTGTCACTGCTGGCGGGATCGACCGCCTGGTTGGCTGCACTCGCTAGCTTTGGCCGCCTCATGCACCGCCGCAAGCTTCCTCGCCGCCGTTCGGTAGTTGCCCACCCTACGTCTCCTTCGTCGCCGCCGCGAACCGCTGGCCCATGCTGGTCGCCAGCGCCTGCGTCAGAATGCAGGACTGCTCGCCCGGCCCCTGCTGCTGCAGCATGGTGCCCAACGCCTCCACTTCGCCCTGCGCGTTGGCGCCCCTTGTCAAGCAACGCAGGCGTCTCGGGCGCCTGCGGCGCCAACTGGGTGCGAGCTCCTTCACCTGTGCACTGGGCGGCACCGGATGGGCCTGCTTTCCACCACCACCACCACCACAAGTTGGAGGGGGAGGGGGTCCTCCTCCTCCTCCTCCTCCTCCTCCTCCTCCTCCTCCTCCTGCTCCTCCTCGTCCTCCTCTTGGTCCTCCTCCTCCTCCTCCTCCTCGTCCTCCACCTCCTTCCTCCCTCCAACTTGTGGTGCTGGTTGTGGTGGTGGTGGAAGGCAGGCCCATCAACACCATTTCCTGTCTTCCTCATCCGCCACATCGCTTTTTGCCTTGACCGAGCTTGTCCCCGCCTCCGCGAGCCGCCCCCTGCGCGCCGTGACCCGCTTCTGGGGTGCATGCGCTCACCTCTCCGCCGTCGCAGGCCGACCCCGCATCGTCTGCAAGGGCGTAGGGCGTCGGTGCATGACGCCTTCGCCTCAGATCCACCACTGTGCTCGGAGAACAGCCGCCACGTGCTCCTCGACCCCCTCAATTTGGACGCCCGCAATGGGTACGGAAAGAATGGGTACAATGCCCATCAACAGATCTTGTCACATACCAACAGCGGCCGCTGTTGGGCAGGCAGCCTTCTGTCTCAAATGTACACAGGCCGCGGCGACACCGACAGCGAGTCCTGTTCAAAATGAACAAGGACCGCTGTTGGGCATTGTACCCATTATTTCCGTACCCATTTCGTTCGCCCCGACTAAACTCCTCTTGTCTGGTGTGGGGCGAGTCGTCGACCTGCATGGCATCACCTGGGGGTGCTCCAACCCGCCTGCTCTCGGCTGGCACATCCTTGACCTCTGCCTCCAGCGCACGGGCCCTGCAGCGGCTCGCCCCCCCAATTGGGTAAGTGATCGTTCCAGACCTGCGGATCGATGGCGTCGTTGATTGCACATCCCCTGCAGATGCCACTCCTTTCGTCGGCCCACAATGTGCACGCCTCTTGGCGTGCGCAATGCTCCACCACTGCTGCTGCCCATGCAAACTTTCCTGCAACCTGGGCGAAACTAATTAGTTGCACACTGACTGCTCCCGCAGAGCCGTGGCGCGCTTTCCCGTGACCTGGTGGTGTCCTGCGCTCCCGTGGGCGCAGGAGGCAACCGAAAAGCTGGGGCGGGCGGGCCAGCTGTCGGGAGAAGGATGATTATCGTTTACAGGAAGAACAGCCTTGCCTGCCTCGGAGCAGAGGTCTCCTCATTGTAATCACCCAGTGCGTACGAGACCATCTTGCGCCAACGTGGCTGCGGAAGTGCGGGAGGCTATTCCGGGAGGGAGGAGAAAAGCAGAGGCGGGCAGTGTCCGCTCCCTCCCCTCCCTCCTCCTCCCCCGCTGCCTCCCTCTGTGCGGGGGGGGGGGGGGGCGGGAAGGCAAGTGGGCGCGAGGAGGACCCGGAGTCGAAGAGGGCACGGAATCGAGGCGCGAAGGGGGCGCGCAAGGTGGACCCGAGGCGGGCGGATCGAAGCGGACGAACCGACGCGGACGAATCGAAGCGGACGAAATGCAGCGGACGAAACGAAACTCGGACCCAGACCCCCGACGGCGTGGTTTTCACAGCGCCGGCCCCCAGAAGCCTCGACCCCTTCCCCGGGACCGGCGTTTCATCCTGCTGCGTACTCTGACGGTCCCGAGGCCGCCCCGAGGCCCGGTCAGGGCCCCAGAAGGCCGAAAATGGCCAAAAGTCTCCCGTCGTGTCTCCCAGATGAGAAAAAAACGTCGTAAACAGAAATTGTTGGCGCCCCGCGCGGATTTCGCGGATCCACGCTGGGCCTCCCCCCGCGGCACCTCCGCTCTGGCACGCGCCACAAGTTTCTGTTTGTGGACGTTTCTCGCTCGACTTCCCCCGCGCGAGGGGCTTTGGGGGCTGAGGCCCCGCGTCGTACGTGGGGCCAACGCTTGTCCGGGCAACGAATCTCCCACGTTCTGGTGCTGTGGCGATGGCGACGGTGGCAGCAGCCGCATGCCGGGGCGTCGAAGTGGCCCGCGGAGGAATGGCCATGCCAGCTGGCCCGAACATGTTCGCCACCTCTGGGGAGACGCACGACTCCCGACGCACGACTCCCGGCAGAGGGGGAGGGGGAGGAGGAGGAGGAGGAGGAGAGGAGGAGGAGGAGGAGGAGGAGGAGGAGGAGCAGGAGGAGGAGCAGGAGGAGGAGGAGGAGGAGGAGGAGGTCCGCGCGAGGGGCTTTGGGGACGAGGCGGCGCGGAGCATCGCCGAGGGGGCCGGGGCGGAGGCTGGCCTGGACCTCGCTGGCGCTGCGACGCCCCGCCTCCTCGACCGCCAGCTCCTGCGGCGGGCGCTGCGAGGGGGGTGGGCGGCGGGGGGGGGGGAGCGCTGCAGTGCAGGGGGCTTCCTTCGAGGATCGAGCGTCGAGGGTCGAGCGTCGAGGATCCAGCCTCGAGCATCCAGCCTCGAGGATCCCGCTTCGAGGATCCAGCTCCGAGGATCGAGCTTCGAGCTTCGAACTTCGAGCTTCGAGGATCGAGCTCCGAGGTTCGAGCTCCGAGGACCGAGCTTCGAGGACCGAGCATCGAGCTTCGAGGCTCGAGCTTTGACCTCGAGGTTCGAGGATCGAGCTTCGAAGACCGAGCTCCGGGACACGGGGGGGGGGGGGAAGAAGACACGGCCTCGTCATTCGGCGGCGTGTCCAGGGGAGAAGGCAGGAGGGGGGGCGACGGGCCGACTCAGAGGGCTCCTGGAGGACCCGCGGCCTTCCGGGAAGCTTCCTGAGCCTTCTCTGGAGACGCAGAGGGCCCTCTCTTAGGTCGGACATGTCCCTCCACAGGCGGGCTCTGGGAGGCAGATTGAAAATAGTCAAACATATGCCATCCGAGTATTTTTCTACAGTTGTTGGATATTCCTCCTGCAGAAGGACATGCCCGACTTGAGGCTTCGCAGAAGGCTTGAGGGCGGCTTCACAGAAGCCCCGCAACCTTCTGGAAAGGCCTTCCCCCTCTCACTGCCCCTCTGCGGGTGCTCCCGAATCATGACAGACAACCCCCTACAAAGGAAGCCCTTCAGCAAACGCGCCTGGGATTATGTTGCTCCCATCGTGCTCGAGGACCACATCCCAAAAATAATTTCGAACACCCGGAGAAGTGCCGCAAGAGTGTCGAAACAGTGCCGCACGAGTGTCTCCCAGGGCCCGACATGCGAAAACCCTCGAGGGTCAGTACTTTTGATTCCTGGTGCTCGAAAGTCTTTCTGGTGGTGAAGGCCTTAAAGAGGCCCTGGAAACGACAGGGCCGTTATTTTACCGGTTCCGTTTTGCCGTTTTTGTTACTGGTTCCGACGTCGTTTTTTACCAGTTCTGTCGCCGTTGTTTGACCGGTTCTGGCTCCGGTTCCAATCCCGGAGCCGTTTTTTTGCTGTTTCGGGTCGCCATTTTTTTGCCGTTTCAATTTTCCAGGGACATTTTTCTGGAAACGGTGGAAAAACGGCCCTGCCGTTTCCGGGGCCCACAAAGGTGAAGGCTAAAGTATAGGTTGAAACATCGGGCAAGGCAGGCCAGTCGGCTGCCAACCGCCACGGGCTGCTCCGTAGGCGCCGCTTGCGGAGAGCCGGGCTGGACTGCTCTGCTGCCTCGCTGGTGCCACCGGTGCTCCATGGCAGCCCGGCTCAGGGGGCTCGTGGCTCGCCTTCCTGGAGAGGCCACCTCGCTGCGTACATCATCCTGGCATGGAGGAGGAGGAGGAGGTGGACGACGACGACGAGCATGAGGAGTAGACGGAGGAGGAGCGAGGAGGAGGAGGAGGTGGAGGAGGAGGATGGTGAGTAGAAGGATGATGAGCGAGGAGGAGGAGGAGGAGGACGAGGAGGAGGAGGACGAGGAGGAGGAGGAGGAGGAGGAGAAGGAGGAGCGAGGAGCGAGGAGTAGGAGGAGGATCGAGGAGGGAGGAGGAGAGACGAGGAGGAGCGAGGAGCGAGGAGGCGGAACGAGGAGGAGGAAAACGAGGAGGAGCGAGGAGCGAGGAGGAGGAGCGAGGAGGAGGAGCGAGGAGGAGGAGGAGGAGACGAAGACGAGGCAGATGGCAGGAGGGATCGACGCGGTGCGCCACCACTGCGATCGTGGTCGAAGCGCTCAGTGCACGCTAATGGGAATGATAGTGCGAGGACAGCGGAGTCGTCGGCTGTTCGCAAAGCTTTAAAGAAGCCCGCCGCAAGCACCGACGCTTCCCCGAAGGGCGCTTGTACCTGGAAGTTATTGATGTTCTGGGCAACCGGTTGGGTATCCCGGGTTTTCCGCTGGTGCCCGCCCGTGGGCGCTTGATCGGGGAGACGTAAGACTCGGGTACGGGGGACTCGGGTTGGCCTGACGGGGGCCATCATAAAAACGACGGGGCCCAATCTGAGACTCGACGCGGGCCTTCGCTGCAGCCATCCCGCGAGAACCGGACCGTCGAAGTCCAGGGCGCGCTCGTCGAAAACCCTCGGCCAACCCGAGCTGTGGCTTGCTCGAGCCCTACGTTTCCACGATTTTTGTGAGTGCCTCGCGGGCGCCCCGCGCTGGCGGGCTATGCTTATGTCGGGCCTGTCCCTCTACAGGGGGTTGTCGACGAAAAATAAAAAAATCCCCCAAAAATGTTCCAAAAAGGTCAAAAAGTACTCAAAACATTGTCCCCAGACTTTTTTTTTTTTTTTTTTACTATTTTGGGATTGTTGTTGGGGGTATTTTTGCATTTTTCGTCGACATCCCCCTGTAGGGGGACAGGCCCGACATAAGGCTACGCTGGGGATTCGCCCCGCGCCCGCCCGTGGGCGCCTCGTGGGCGCACTACGCAGGGGGGGCTATGCCGAGGCTTCGCTTGGTGCCCCTCCGTGGGCGCCTCTTGGGCCCTCGGAGGACGGGGAGGAGGAGGGGGAGGAGGAGGAGGAGGAGGAGGAGGAGGAGGAGGAGGAGGAGGAGGAGGAGGAGGAGGAGAGAGAAGAGGAGAAGAGGAAGAGGAGGAGAGGAGAGGAGGAGCAGGGAGGAGGAGGATGAGGGAGGGGAGGAGGGAGGAGGAGGAGGAGGAGGAGAGGAGGAGGCGGAGGGAGGGAGGCGGAGGAGGAGGAGGAGGAGGAGTGGAGTGGAGTGGAATGGAATGGAAGGCCACCCATGGGGGAGTGCATCGCACGAAACAAATCTCAGCTTAAAAAATAAACTGTGATGCGAACTGGGGTGGGGGTGGCGAGAGAGGACAAACCCTCAAACAGCACCCGAAAACTATCCCCTGGATTGAGCATATCGAGTGCTCTCCCGCTTTCGGATTCTCATAGGAGGGGGCCGCCTCTGAAGCCGAAAGACTCGTGCGAACATTCGTGACAATAGAAGTCTCTAGGTGCTCTGGCGGGGCTCGGCGCAGCCTGGAGACAGGGAACACCTTGTCCAACGCCTGGGCCACACGACGGTTGGGGCATCGACCTTGCCTCACCATGGCCAGGACCATGGAGGAGGAGGAGGCGGAGGAGGAGGAGGAGGAGCAGGAGGGGGAGGAGGAGGAGAAGGAGCAGGAGGAGCGAGCGAGCGAGCAGAAGCCGAGGGGCGATGGGATCCGGAGACAAAGGGAAACGCTCAAGCACCACGCCTCCCCGCCCCAGCAGTTGCACGGTGGAACCACCAGGGCAAGGACCACCTTGCAACCGCCAGGGAGGGGAGAGCAGTGACTGAACGCCTCCGCGCGGCCGCCCACGGCGACGCAGGCAGGGAGCACGGGGCCTGCGGCAGGCCCGTGCTCACCAGCACGAAGCCCGCCGTGGCGAGGTGCCCGAGGTCCGGCACGGTGCCGAGCCCCCAAGGTCGCCGAGACCCCATCAGCGCAATGTCTTTGTCCAGCGACTGGGGGTGTCGGAGCCTGCTCAAATGCCTGGTGTTCTCGGCAACCCTTCCGCTGCCTCCTTCCCTGCCACAGCACACTTGATCCATCCCTCTGTGGTTGATACTGCCAGTGCCAAAAAACCCGCAGCAACTGGCACAGAAAATGACAGAGCGGTCGTGGCCGACAACGGGGTACTCCAGCAGGGCATGTTTCTGAACCAGCCACGGCCAGGGCAGAAGGGGCTCCCTCGCCGCCGCCTGCTGCTGACTGGGTCAGGGAAGAGGTAATCCTTGAAGTCGTCGCCCTGATCGTGGAACCAGACCTCGAACTGGGCGGTGCATGTCAGAAGCATCTGGTGAAGGCGCATCGCGCCGCGAACTAGCTTCTCCTGAGCTTCCGCCGCTGCATGGAAGGAAGCTCCTGCTTTGGCCAACTCGTCGACCTCGGCATTCCCCGCTCGATCGAACAGGCTGATGACGCCGTCCCTGACATCCTCCATGCTGGTGTGTGCCTTCACGTGGGACACTGGTGCCTTGCAGAAATCGTCATTCATCGCAGTCCTCCTCCACATGTGCGCTCGTAGATTGCCTGGTCCACAAGCCGCCGCCATCCTGTGACAACAGCCGACCGAACCCTTGCAATCCGACTTCACCTGGAAAGAACCCATGACCAGCTCGCTTGCCTTCATGATAGCGTAATCCTCTCCGTCTCGAGCCACCTGACTGGGCCCTTCGCTACGAGGAACAGCTCCATAGCATCGAGCCACTCGTCGCCTGTCCGAGTCGTAGACAACAACAGCCCAGCCAGCGGAACGCAGCTCAGGCACTCGAACTGACCTCGCGCTCCCGTCGACGAAAACGTAGCCTCCTTTGACTGCCGTCACGCCTCGGCGATCCACATCAATCATGTCGTGATGGCTAGTTCGGCCAGCTCCGTGGAAGGCCTGCCCTGGGTGTGGGAGAAGACCTCGGGCGAATCGCTCTTGTCTGTCCTCCGTTTCGCACCTCATGCGCTGCGCCGACCTCAGAACTCCGGGCGGCATGAGCAGCTGCCGTTGGGCAAAGAAGGCGTCACACTCAAGGAAACGATGGAACAAGGTGCCAGGCGCAGCCTGGCATCTGGTGCAGAGCGAGGAGTGGCCTGCAAAGGCTCGAGCAATCCGAACTTGTGTCCAAAGGCTTCCCGTGATCACACCCCGCAGCGAGTTCCTCTGGCGGGGCGCGAGGCGCTTGCCGCGCAGCGCCTCCAAGATCGACTGCCAGGCGATGGGCCCTGTCCTGGTGGTGCCTGCTCCTTGCACAGTGGTGAGCGCAGCACGGTCGATCTGACGTCTTACCCCCAGCTTGACTACGCGCGCTATCCAACTGGCAGAATAGAATTTGAGGTCCCATGAACGACCTTCGTCGTCCAGTAGCGTGAACGGGTCCAGCAGCTTCCAGCAGATCCTGTGCAGGCTGATCATGAGCGCCGCAATGGGGTTCTTGCACTTCAG